TATGATCAAATAGCATAGAAAAATAGAACATTCTTTTCTCTATCAGACTATATAAAAGAAAGTTTCTTTAACCTTTCTATAAGGGATAAAAATACCACTGCCACTACTTTTGGTATGCCCTAAGTAGCTTATATCTTTTATTTAGTACTTATAGTTACTTCTATGTATTTATATAACATATTATTACATATTATCTTCTGGTTCTTGGCGTATTTAGATTTTTTTTAAATAATTTGCGTTTATTAGGTTTTAAACCATTGTTTCAAAATTACGATTTTCGATTTTTTGTGGTTAATTTTGTTTAATTTTTTCGTAATTAATTTTTATTAATAAGAATTAAGTTTTGTAATACTGATTTGTCGTATCAGAGGTTTATTTTTAATGTTAGTTTTGTTTTGTTTGAGTTTCTTGTTTTGTTTTTTTATCAAGGGTATAGTATTGTCAAATGATAATAGTTTATTTTTTTTGATATTTAGTGTTTTGTTGGTTTTAGCTATTTTTCTTAGTTCTTTAAGTTTGAGTAATTTTAATAAAGCTTTCTTTGAGTGAGTTTTAGGTGTGTTTAAGGAGATTAGTGACTCAACTACAGGCGCCGATACGTATTCTATGATATGATTTCTTCCATATCCTCTCACAGTCTTTTAATTTTAAGGTGCATATGCATGCATTTGTACCGTTGTCATCTTCGGTGGTGCCGGAGCTAATTGAATCAACCGATCGTTATGACTGATGCTTTTTGCAGAGCAATAGACTTTTATTATCTTGGAGATAAATGACTTTATTTATTATTCAAATGACCGTATCTATTACTTATACCATGTGTATATTAGCCTCAACAATGTTATGCCACGCACTAGAGTCGTGCCATAAGAAGATCCTAGTCAAGGTTATTGCGCAAGACTATGGTGCAAGAATATATTCAAGGTTATTGCATTAGCCTTAGTCAACGAGATAGAACAGTTCTAAGAAGTATTGCATAATAAGGGCATCAGTCTTCGTTTCTTAAGATTGTGCAACGGCTTAAGTATATATATGTGCGTTTTTGTGTAAAAAAAGGGGAGATCTTTCTTATTTGTAAATAAACGTTAGGTGAGAAAGATCTTAGTTCACCCGGGAACCTAACATTTGGTGCACTAGCCGGGGTTAATACAAGTAAGTGATTTAAGTTTATGGTAGTAACAAGGTCACAACAACACGCACTTGACGATCAAAAGCGACAACAGTATTTAGAAGAAGTGAAGCGACTTGGTGATATCGAAATCGAACAACTTACGGAAATATTGATTGTTCGTCGTCCGTTACAATTTGGAATGGCAGAAAAGACATTGGCATCACGCATTAGCAAACAGTTGGATCAATTGCCAATATTTAGTGGCAAATTGAACGAAAATGTGACCAAGTGGCTGAAGGATGTTACGAACGAATTAAATTTGGTGAAGTTCGATGATAGCCAAAAACTGGGTGTTATTCAAACATATTTGGCTGATGATGCAAGAAAATGGTTCATTAATAACATGAGAACATTAGATACATGGTCCGAATTTAATGAAGCAATTCAGAGAACGTACGCATCAACGTTTGCAAACGAAGTAGCCATTAGCCAACTAGGTCAACGTCATCAAGGCTTCGATGAGACTGTCATGCACTATTACAACGACATGATGGAATTATTTGATGTTATCGACAATCGAATGAGCGACTCATTGAAGGTCAGCTATCTAAAAAGTGGATTAAAATTGTCATTGAAGAAGGAAGTGTCAAGAAAAAATCCACAAACACCATCTTAGTTCATCAAAGCGGCTCAAGAAGAAGAAAGCCTTGATTATTCCATGACCGCATCAATCCACAACATGGAAATTCAAGAGAGAAAAAGAATAACAAGCACGATAAATTCACCACCAATACACCAAAACTATCATTATACGTCCTATCCACAGCGTCAATTTCAACACGATGGCGAAAATTATTACACAAGGACTCTCACCTAACGTTTATTTACAAATAAGAAAGATCTCCCCTTTTTTTACACAAAAACGCACATATATATACTAAGCCGTTGCTATTCCGAAATGAAACTATTTTTGTATAGTTAAAATCTCGAGTTTAGGAGATAATTTTATGGCGTGGCTCGAAAAATTTGTTTTTTGTACTAGATATCAGCTCCAAAACGTCAGAACGCGAAAGTTTTAGGTTCAAGAAATCTTCTCCTTCGAAGGACTCTTCTTGAGGATATAGATGTAGCATAAGTAGAGGAATAGTTTAGTAAAGTTTGAACGACTTTGAAGCCTGTCCGAACTAGTCGCACTCCTTTGCCCTGATGGCACAGTTAGGGAAAACTAGTTAGATTGGAAAATAATTTTGTTTTTTGTAGACTTTTGGTGCGAACCGTAAATTTCTTCGCTGTTATATCAGAGAGAATCTGAATTTATATGCTATATTGTTCTTGTATTCAAATC